ACTGTCAGGATTCATTTGGTCAATCAAGCTTCGAAAAAACAAATATTTACATAAAAAATTAAGTAAAAACTGTACTTTTATATTAAGAATTTCAAATGTTTTAAATACCAATAAAATACGATGAAGCAAAAAAAACTTAGTAACTCCATATATCATAGCAAAGTAGACTTTTATTTAAGATACAAATCATCAAATTATAACGCGTAGTTGTTGAGAAAATTGGTTTAGTTTTCACCACAAAATAAAGTCGTTTCTAAAAAATTTTAATTGTAATTGATATTCCCAATATCAAAATATACTGTTTCCTCGGTTCTTTATGTTAACGTGTGTTTTTTCCAACGCCTGGTTGACCATATGAGCTCTGACGGCTGAATTGGAGCCACGACTTTCAAATTTTCTTAAATAAAAAGCTAAAACAGTGAAAGAAATTGCTTAACATTTTTAAATTTTTTAAGAAATTAATTCTTGAAAAGATTTCGAGCCGAAGATCCTCCGATTTTTGACCCAGATTTTGAGCAATATTTCACATTTTGGCCGTTCTTGGTGGTTAAAAAGGGGGTTAAATATCAAAGTATCTTGATGGATAGGTAAAATAACTTGAATTTAAAACTAAAATTTCAAGAAATGTAAAAATTTCGAAAATTAATTTTAAATATTACTGTTTGGGAATTAATACTAGTATATAGACCCAATACGATCTATTGCAAAAAATAAAAGAATGTTTTTAAATGAGGAAAATAAAATATGTTTTTATTTTATTACCTTTTCTAAAAGCTAATACGTTTATTTTATGAAAAAAAAATTACAAAGAATATTCTTTCTGATGTTTTTATATAATAGGGTGCATTTTATATAAACTTACGTTACAATAAACTACCTACAATTCCAACTTAATTTAAAAATTTTTTAGATTTTGTGAACTTTTTGTGTTAAGTTTAACTTATTTGAGCATTATTTCACAAGTCCATCAATATACTTCGATATTTAAGCCCCTTTTTAACCACCAAGAACGGGTTGAATTGCAAAATAGCGAAATATTGCTCGAAATTTGTCTCAAAAATCTCGTTATCTATAAGTGGATTCAAAACTTCTCAAAAACTTATTTTTTAGATAATTTAACCATTAGAAGTAATTTCTTTCTTTCAATCTGAACTTTTTATTTGAGAAAACTTGAAAGTCGGCCCTATGATTCAGCTGTCAGGATCCATATGGTCAATCAAGCTTCGAAAAAACAAATGTTTACATAAAAATTAAAGTAAAAACTATACCTTTATATTAAGAATTTCATTTATAATTAAAATTTTTAAAAATAAATACAAAACGCAGTTTAAGAAATCTCAGCTTGTGTCCCCAGTGTAATACTGTGAATAGTTTCTATTATTTTTTCCAATACCAATTTTTTTACCAATAAAATACGATGGAGCAAAAAAACTTAAAAACTCCATATATCATAGCAAAGTAGACTTAAATACATTTTATTTAAGATACAAATCATCAAATTCTAACGGGTAGTTTTTAACAAAAATATAGTTTATTATCAACAAGGATTTCTTTCTTGTCTGCATCATCTATTCCTATTCACATTAGTTCAATAGCACATTAGTTCAAATCATACATTTTTCTATGTAAAATTAATAACGACAAAATAGTTAATAATTAAATAAGGTAACACCCCCGAAAATTTTTAATTATTCAAAAAGCGCAAAAATGCGCAACTTCGGGTGATGTAAAACTAATTAACAACATTTCAGGTTATTCATTTCTTGTTATTTCAGGTTTAACAAACGTTAACATTTTTTAAACGCATTCATGAAGTTCCCAGCAAAATCTTTGCTTACAATGATTACCATTAAGTACTTTATTAATGACTTACTTTGTATGTAAAGTCAAAAAAAAATCAAAATAAAGAAACAAACATAAAACAGTTACTTTTTCTTTTGTTTCCTTTTTTTGTGCACACGATATCAAATATCTATTTTTAGACAAACAGAAAATAAAATAGTATTTGTGTAGAAAAACTATTATTTGACGCACAATAAAACAGCTAAGCAGTGGTGTAGTGAGTGGAGCATCCAACTGGCAGACGGAAGGTATTGAGTTCAACCCCAGTCGGTGTCACTTTTTATTTTTATTTTTTCATAAATATTCTATAAATAACTCTACTAAAAAAAACAACTTATTTCCAACCAAATAATATTGACTTACTTTTGGAACATCTCAAACAAAAATAAGTACTTTTTCTAGTAGAATTGTAAGCACTTTACTCGATGAATTCTGGTGATTTTTCTAGTGAATTTGTAAGCAAATATTTTGCTGGGTTATATTCAATTTCTTTAAGGTTACTTTAAATATTGTATTTTTTGAAGTAAAGAGATATTATTTGCAATCATTTACAAGAATATACATATATAAACTACCCGGCAACAAAATAACATCCAAAGAAGCGAAAAAGAAGTAGAATTAACGCTATTGAAAAAGACCTACAGAAGTGATGATTTTAACACACGCTTGTCATAAGAGGGATACAACTCATTTGACTTCAAAATATCAACGGTAATTAAGGAAATAAATATGCACACATATTTAATACAAAATCCAAAAAAATTAAATTATTTAACTCATAAAAATTTAAGAACAAAAAAATATATCTTCAGTATTGAAAAAATAGAATTATAGATAAGCAGAAATACGCCTACTGCAAAATAAATGTTATAAAAGTGCTGTTTTTGTGTTGCAAGATAATTCGATGAAGCACATCTAAACCGCTAAATATAATTTGTAACACCTAAGATCAATCGGTGGCTGACAATAATGCTAACATTTTTTAAGTGTTTTCATGAAGCAATTCATATCATATAAACATTTTTGTAAATTTTTATGTAATTTCACTATCTTCAAAAATTTCTTTTTTTCTCAACTCAAACTCAAATTTCTTTTTGACTGAACTCAAAATTGTTTTTTTTTTTTTTTTTTGATGTTTTTTTTTTAGAAAAACAAGTATCTTATTCTTTATCTTAAACATTCGTTCATAACATGAATTTTTCAATTTTGTATTCTATATGGTGTAAAATGTTATGTATTTTAACATAAAAGTGCTCTGTAAGTACCGAAATGAAATGTCAATTTCAGGTTTTTTGTAGTGATTGTGTTTCATAATTCCTTTAAATTGCAAGAAAAATTTTGCTTTGGAAATTCGAATATTTAGGAGTAACAAAGAAAAACCCGATAAACAGATTTTCTTGTACAAACTATAGAGATAAAAGAAAACAATTGAATTCATCTGCATCTGTGTTTTCCTGTAGATAAGGAATACTTTTTATTTCGAAATTTCACGCCCTCATACCAGAGTATGAAAACTAACGAAACATTTCGCAAACGTTTCCATAATGTACAAAACTTTTAAAATTTTTTAAATCGCTTTGTACATGTGCAAAACTAAAACAAATACTTTTTAAGTGAGAAAGAGCGAAAACAAAACAATAGGCTTTTCGCTCATCTGCTTGCTTTTGTTTGCTTTACAATCAAACAAAACGCAGAAAAGTATTTTATGAAAGAATCATAAAGTATATGTTTGATTTCATTTCATTTTTTATGGTTTTTATTATGTTCTTTATTACTACTGTATTCCACATAGGCATCTACAAAAACAAAGTCTTCTTTTAATTTTACTCAAAAATGTTTTTGTAATGAGCAAAACAATTTTTGTTACCGTATGATATAAAATTGAAAATATATTACCAAATTAACATCAAAAAAATCTGCAAACAGAAAGGAACGAAAAATTGTAGAACATACACAGAGGAAAAAATATACACGCCTGGTACCAAATTCACACAAAATTTTTCAATAACATCCGATTGCGATTGTGACAACGAATTGTTGCAATGTTGACAAAGTTGCGTGGTCTACATTACATGTTGTTGTATGTATGTACATATGTATGTATGTATGTATGTATGTATGTATGTATGTATGTATGTATGTATGTATGTATGTATGTATGTATGTATGTATGTATGTATGTATGTATGTATGTATGTATGTATGTATGTATGTATGAGAATGATTGGGATCTACTAGAACAATTTAACGGATTAAGTAACTTGGAACTTATGACCGAAAAGGATTAATTTATTAAAAATTTATTTCCCTAATTTTATTTATTGTTATTAATTATTACTTTTCTAATAAAAAAAATAATTTACTACCACTTAATTAGAAAACATACCTGGCTGAATAATTTTCATATTACTAATATTTATGTATGTATGTATGTATGTATGTATGTATGTATGTATGTATGTATGTATGTATGTATGTATGTATGTATGTATGTATGTATGTATGTATGTATGTATGTATGTATGTATGTATGTATGTATGTATGTTATGTATGTATGTATGTATATACTCGACAACAGATGTTATTGAAAAATTTTGTGTCAATTTGGAATCAGGCGTGAATATGTTTTTTTCCATATAAACCCGAAAATATAAAATTTTGAGTTGAGTCACTTTTGAACTGGGAGTGCGATTTGATCTATTGCCAATATAAATCTTTTCTTTTATATACTAAAATTTAAAGAAACTAAAATTGCTCAAATATTTTATAAAAATGTCAAATGCTAAATTAAAATTTTACAGCTAAATCAAAATAAAAATGCTGAATAATGCATTGGTAATTAACAAAACATATTTCGAAAAAAGTATTTTTTTTAAAGAGGGTCTTTTTAAATCTAGTGATATTGAAGAAAATGTCATTACTGCATAATTTTATTAACCGCCTTTTTCTGGAAGTTCTGGACTTATGCATTTTTCAAACACATAACATATTCTTACATAAAAATTCAAATGTATAGGCAAATTAAAAATCTCAGTACAAAATTTTAGTTTTTAAAAATATTTAGTGTTGCCAGAGTTACACTTAAGTATAAAAAATTGTAACACTGTGAGTAGGTTATTGAAAATAAATAAAATAAGTAAAGTTTTTTCTTTTTTAGGTCGTTCCACTAGTAAACAACGCCAGTGAATCATTTTTGGCGTCTTTGGAGGAACATTTAATGTTACTGGTTGTATCATTAAACCAAGCTGTGGTTTCCAGTTGCGTATCTTGCCTTGGAGCAGTCGTAAATAAAATAACGAAAAACTACAAATTAATTCGTGATTGTTTTCATAAGTAAGTTGCTTTTATAAATTAAAGAAATATGTATGTATAAAATTATAAATAATTATGTATGTATACAATTTTATCTGAAGTATATTTTAAGAAAGCATAGGGTAGCCAATACCGATTTTGTTACGTTGTCAACAACAAAGTGTGAAAATTATTTTTTCTAAACTCTGTAAAAATATTTTACAGTATGTGTTATTTTGCAACTTTTTAAATTTTTGTAACACAAAATAAGACCTAACCACGACAAAATGTATACTTTTTCCTCATAAGCTAGTTAGAACATGGCGCAATTTATGCCATTTTTATACCCTACGCCACTTTAGTGGTGAGGAAAAAAAGTTATATATTTCAAGTCTGGGGACTTTGAGCTTTACTTACATGAAATGATAGTTAATTAAACAGATGGAACTGGTGCTTAAAATACAAATGAAAATTATTAGTAATTTGAAGATAATTATCAAAAATTTGTTATTTAAACCTTATAAATATGATTTTTTCCAAAAACTTTAAGTTTCAAAGGCTAGTGCCAAGCAGTGCCAGATATGTTCTCGACGCCTTGATATGTTCTCTGTCCAGAATTTTGCGACCGCCTGCGACCATTCATAAACTTAAGAGTTATTGCCGATAATATAAAAATAGTCGTTGAAACTTAGTAGATTTTTACCATGTAAAAATTTAATGAAAAAATTAAAATTAATTTTTAGTAATATATCATTATAATATCATAATAAAATTGGCAGCTATTAATCTCACATTTAAAAAATTACAAATTCAATATGCGGGGCAGTATCTGTTTAACTTTTTATATTTATAAGTTATTTTAACTATTTTCGAATGTCCGATATTTAGGGAGTTTCATAGCAGGGAATGTTCACGTAAAGCTACGATGGAACATATTTTTTATAGAGCCATGGATACATCCGATCCCAAAATATCTACGGAAATCTTACATTTTAGAATAGGCAAATAATCAAAAGCAAATAATTTTATAGAAAATGAAGAGAATGATTCGGATCTACTAGAACAATTTAAGGGATTAAGTAACTTGGAACTTATGACCGAAAAGGATTAATTTATTAAAAATTTATTTCCCTAATGAATTTCTATATGTTTTTTTTATTATTTTTATTTATTGTTATTAATTATAACTTTTCTAATAAAAAAATAATTTACCACCACTTAATTAGAAAACATACCTGGCTGAATAATTTTCATATTACTAATTTTGGATATTAGATTCTCATTTTTAGTTTTTAGCAATAAGAATTAAGATTCATAATTATCAAGTTATCTTAATTATATATTTTCAGTAATAGTTATATATAATAACAATAAATAAAAATTGATGACCGCCATATTTGATCCGCCATTTTGAATATTTCAAGTATTTCAAATTTAATTAAGGTTTGGCATAGTTTTATGCCCGAAATACATAAGCCAACGATTTCATACCATCTTCATCTTAAATACTGCTAAGAAATTAAATATTTAATTATTTCTTATGTTTGATCCGCCATTTTGGATTCAGTTTATTCAATTTTTAAAATCTGACTTCATATTTGTAATCAGCGACCAAAGGTCCATAAAACGTGTTCAATAAAAATTTAATTAATTGAATTTTTAAAAATTTTGGCCTCCATTTTAGATCCGCCATTTTAAATTTTTACTTTTTTTTTGCAGAATCCTAATCAGTGTCACCGAAATCCTTATATGTGATATTTATTTATTTATTTATTTATTTATTTATTTCATACATCCACTGCTCTAATTATGGCCAAAAAATGGGATCTCTGGCCCAGTGTGCAAGGAGTGTTAAAATCGGTCCATTATTTTACCTAGCCCCCATACAACAGAACCCCCCGAAAAGGGGTTCTGAGCTCATAATTATGTTAAATATACCTGTATATTGATAAAAAGCGGCACAACTAAGTTTTATACAAACCTTGATGACCTTGCCTTTGTAAAAATTTAATTTAAAAAGTTTTGTGTTTGTAAAATATAGTTCGTTTAGTAAAAAACGATTTTGTAAAAAAAAAAGTTTTAAAATTCCAAGACAAGGGTGTAGTACAAGGGAAAATTAGCCATCCGAATATTACTAGGTTTAGGAATAATGTAGTCTATACAACAAAAAAGGCAAATATTTTAAAACCAAAGCCCCCATATGAATTAAATAGAAAAATTCGTAAATGTTCGTATAGAAAAAAGGGCGGACTTTCATCTGAGGGGCTTGAAACCCCCACATGAATTAAATAGACAAATTCGTATATCTGGAAAACTATTAGAGCTATAATTTTAAAGTTTTACATGAAGAACTTTGAGAATAAAGTTCGGACTTTCAATGGGGGGCTTGGCACCACATATATGAATTAAATACAAAATTTTGACGAACTTGCAATAATTTGCGTGGCATCTTTCATATGTAACATATTGTAAATCTGGAAAACTATTGTAGTTAAAATCTTCAAAATCGTTAAGTGGGTTTTTTATTTATATTGCTTTTAGGGTAGCAAAACACACTGGGTATAGCTAGTACATATATGAAAATTAATGTATGTTTGTTTATTTGTTTGATTATTTGTTTGTGCCTTATAGGAGGCTAAACCACTGAACAGATCTTCTGGAAATTCTCACTGCGTGTTCCTCTATATTTGGAAGAAACAATAGAAATTTTAAGTTGGCGAGACACCCACATACAAAATAATATTAAAACTCACATATCTCAAATTTGTATAGACAATTTTGACATCGATATGAAAATTTGTGAACAAAATGGGCGGACTGGCTATTGTGGGCGTGGTACCTCCCATATAAAATAATATTGAATTAGTATATCTGAGAAAATATAACAGAGATTGAAACCATCAATATCGAACCATTTTTAATCGTTGATATCTTCGAAACTGATTGACCAATTAAAATAAAGTTTTGTATAGTCTCCTAATTTTATTGCTATAAATTTTGATTGTTAATTTGGTTTAAAAAAGGCTTCTGAGCTTGGTCGGAAAAAACTTATTTTGCATGGATATATACGAGACTTTCGTCGATGCCAAATGCCGCTTAGATAAGATATTCTAATGTTGATACTGTCATTCTTATACTGTCATCCTCTCATAATTGACCAATATTTGTCCAATAAAATTGTTGCTAGTTTAAATTTATTTTTGCTTGCACTTTTTTTGGGAACCTATCAATCAACTGAGAAAAATAAGTCAATAATATAAAATTTAGGACTTTCATAATTTAATTTTTACCAAATTTATCTGATATAAGATTATTTTAACAAAATTCTCAATATTTTGTGACAAGAGAACCCTGATTAACCCTGATTTTAAAATGAATAATTCAAAAATTTTACGCACTAGACTTCTTCCAATGTTTTTTTTTGGACTAGACGGCCTAAATAAATAAATAAATCTATATAGGTTTTATATCATGAGCAAAATCGTTGTAAACTAGTGTATTTTGCGAATACAAAAGTTCCGTTATTAAACACTGCACTTGCTTTGACAATTATATCGGCCAAGAACTGCCAGAGTTTTTTTCAAATGGGTGTAACTTTTCACCTATTGGTCCTAGCAAAAATTTTCCAAAGGAGTTCAGATAGCTATTTCTTCATTATTTACAAAAAAAAAATAGATGAAGAAATAGCTATCTGAGCTCCTTTGGAAAATTTTTGCTAGGACCAATAGGTGAAAAGACATTTAAAAGTGCGTTAGAAACTTAGAATGCTTATGCAATTATCGCTCCAACAACAAAATCGGTTGAAAATTGTAAAAGTTATTACAAATTTTATTTGAAAAGGGCATAAGTTTATCTCAAAATATTTTGTAAGAAATCTTTGTTTTTATACCCTACACCACTTTAGTGGGGAGGGTATATTGGATTTGTGCTGATGTTTCCCCACAGAAAATTTTCAGAGTACTCGGAATTGTAACCAATGTTGTGTGCTTTACTTTGTGTTACTTATTTTTTTTTTTTTATTATAATTTACTTGTATATAAAATCTGGATATGAAGTTTAAATTTTTAATAATTTTTTTACATCTTAATATACTTGTGATTAACATTGTATGTGAGAACAGAAAATTAAAATATAAAAAAAATCAAGTGTGCTGTAATTTAATCAACAAAAAATTTTTCATTTATCGAAAAATATTTTTTGGATCAACATTTTTCAATGTTTAGATGAATTTTAAGCAAAATTTGTTGCTTAAAATTAGGATCATGATCTAGTGATAATTGGAATGGCCTTATACTTATGAATGAATTTGTAGATACATGTATTTGGGTAGCATTTTTTAAAAAAACATCCATATTTAGATACTTCTTAATACACATGTATTTTAACTAGAAAGTTGTTGTAGATACTTTTTGATACACTTGTGTTCCAGCTAGGAAGGTGCTGTAGAAACAATTTTACTTACTAGGTTTATCGGTAAGAATGTAGGAATAGCTACTTTTCCACACACAAGTATATTATAAAAAAAGTATAATCTACACACAATATCGCAAACCTAGTCTATCAGTTAGTGTGTCATTTTCAAGCGGCCATATCCTGTGTAAAGTAAGCCAGAGTGTGTGTAAGTTTGTAAGCACTTTCGAATACAAAATAAGCAACACAATATCAATGTAGTAAGCTATAAATTTTCTGTTGGGTTGTAACATATAAAAATATTCGTCCTAGACCCACCTTAAAGTATACCAATCGGCTTAGAATCGTTTTCTGAGTCGATTAAGCTATGTCCGTCCGTCTGGCTGGCTGGCTGTCCATGTAAACCTTGTGCGCAAGGTACAGGTCGCAATTTTCAAGATAATTCGATGAAATTTGGCACGCACGTTTTATTTGACCCAAGGACGAAGCCTATTGAAAATGGTTAAAATCGGTCCATTATTTCACCTACCCCCATAGAACAGAACCCCCCGAAAAGGGCTTCTAAGCTCATAATTATGTTAAATATACAGATATATCGATAAAATACGGCACAACTAAGTTTTATAGAAGTC